ATGGCTTTTCCAGCAAGCGGGCCTGACCTAGGGTGGATTTTAGTTAGGGATGATTTTAATATAACTTTAATTATTACACAGCTACTAATATTTGGCTTTTAATTTGGTTTTAGAGGGGTTTTTATTCTGGTATTTTATTGTTATTTGTTTTAATATGCTGTGCACCGCCCTGAGTCCTTCGGGAGAAGGGCGGTATATATAAATTAAATTAATAAATTAATAAGTCACGTGACGTGTTGCGATGTATCACAACTTTTTTTCCATTGCCTTCAATGGGGTGGGTGCGGTTTCGGCATGATGCATCCGGCCCGTGGGCCAGCAGTTTGACACCCCTGCCCTAAACTGTTAATTCAGATTATGCTGGTGTTGGTTTTAAAATATTGATGAATTGTGGAAAGAAAGCTATAGAAATGACTAAAGTAAGATAAACATTTTTACAAAAAAAAAGAGAGAAAAGGATGCTATAATTTTGAACAGGCAGAAATCAGAGTTTGCAGAAAATCATAACAAGCAGCAGGTGGAAATTCTTGTAAACATCTAAATGCTAATGAGAAGTATTTATTTTGCATACTTCAAAGGTGAACAGAATTATTTTTTCCCTAAAATAAACTAGAATAAATGCTAATTTTTTTAAAAAAAAACACCTAAGAATGTGTAGAAGTTGTTTGCGATTTGGTTATTTTGGTTTATGATGTAGTGCTTGTTTTAATCATTTCAGATTTGCAAAACATTTTGTAGGAGTCATGAATCTTCCTCAGCTTTGAAATAAATAACTTTTTTCCTGAAAAAAATTCCACATTCAGATAGACAAAGGTGTAAAAGATAATTTTAGCTAGTACATAAATTGGTTTTATCAGCTTGATATGCAAAATAAACGCAAGTTAAAATTACAGTGGTGAAACTGATTTAAATATTTTTAAAAAATTCATTTAGGTTTGCTTACAATTTCCATTTTGCAAATTATTTCTTCGTTTTTCTTCAGACTTCATTTTTGCCTTGATATACCACTGGCATCTTTAAGAAAACAAACACTATTTTAATGCCATAAAATGAATGATATTGAACTAATATGATATTTATATAATAACCATAAAAGTATTGCATTTGACTGAAGGAGGACTAAGAAAATCAACCATCAAATTAAGATAGTAGTTAGCATGATTTTTATTAAAATATATTATATTTTATATAATAGATACTAAAATGTATGAAAAGGATTTCAGTAACATATCAGTTAATTAAACTTCATAGGTGTTATTTGGTGCACATATTGTTCACATCTCTTCCAAGTATATTCAAACAAGATTCCTTCCAAAGGGAAAAGTTCCTTTTATACTGATATTTCTCACATATAGTTAGAAGGAAATAATTGGTGTTTAGCACTTGAGATCAGACTGAATGTTTTGGGAAGCCTTTTTTGTTCATTATCAAGAGCTTAAGTATCAAACCAGGTTCAGGACTTTGAAATGCTTAAAATTACAATTATAATCAAAACATCACATTTTCTCATGCTTGGAAATATCTCATCATCTTATCACTTAAGGTAAAAAAGCCCTGATTACCAGGAGTTTATTTACATATTGATTTAGTTTCACCTTTGCAACTTAGTAGTAAGGTTGCACATCCCTGCTCTCTAGTGACCAAGAAAACTAGGTTACATTTTGGAACAGTTGAAAAGGGATAAAGCTATTCTCTAATTAGAAGTCTTCAATCCCTGGGCAAGGTTGTGTCATGACTGAGTTATACCTGAGTACATATTTATTTTCTCCAAACAAGCCAATATTTTGGATAACTGGGGACACCAATGTGGCAAAGTCAAAATTTGTTCATAATTCTTGGGTGCTCTGTGATCAAAATACCACTGGTAGATATTTATAAGGTATAAAATTAGTTATTTTTGTTTGTTCAGTAAGCAAAAATATCTAAAGCATATATGCCAAAAAGGGTAGATACCTTTTCAAATTCTGAAATATCGACATTCTCTGAGCAACCACAATATATCAATTGTGGTATCTCCATGTCATTGACAATAATTAAATATCATACACTTAAATCAGGATTTAAATTTGGCAATTATAGATCTTTGGCCAATAGCTCACAAATAAATAAGGGCTGCAAAGCCGTAATTATTTATTATTTATAATAATATTATATAACTAATCAAATATTATATAACTTGCAATCCTTACTTTGAATTATCTGTCTAATAAAGCAGCTTTAGCATTAAGTTCATGAAACAAAATTCATCTTCCACTTAACCTATTCATAACTTCACTCTAGTTTGCTCTAGCAGAATTACACAGAGGGCAAAATCACACATTCTTTATCTGCTTAGGAATTTATTGAAATATTGCATACAGTTATATACAGCTTCTCAGTTTCTACTTCCAAATCAACTTTCAAGTGCTCTTTTGGGACAGCCTTAACAGTCATGTTGGATCAGACCAAAGATTTATATAAGCCTAATTTCCACAATGACTAAACATATGTAGAGAACTCACCAATAGAAAAGAGTCAACAATAACTTGTTCTTATTTGGGTACCAAAGATTTCATAATTTCACTGAACTCTGCACAATCTAAGAACATAATAACCTTCTCCTTTATTGATAATAACCTTTCTATTATTTCCACCATAATTAACTATTACATTCTATAAAATTTATCAGCTTCTCACATCCTCCAACTAATATTTTTACATTAATGCCTTTGAAACTTTTTGTTAAGGGCTGATCATTTAGTCAAGCTGAGGTACAGATGCTTATGACCTCCTTTTTCTCCAGTCTACATAAACTCATAAGCAACTATAAGATTCAGTGTAGCATCAAACTTCTTTTAGCACAAAGAAGGAAACACCTAGTCAAATTATGCACTTTAAAATTTGTTTCATTCCAATAATAAATTGAGAGTTTCATGTGAGTTGTCTTATTCTGTCTCCTTTTCTTAGCATTTAAATTTTAGGAAAATAATTCATTATATTACATAATGGAATGATTCCATTGAATGTTAAAAATGTAGAAAAATATAGAATGGAGAAAAACTAAAATTGTTTTGCCATGTTCCTAATATTACCTACTAAATCTAATACAGATGAAGAAAATCTCATATATATTTATTTCTCTTACTGCCGTAATAACAAGCCTGAGGCATTATACTAGACTGTTGTTTACTGTGCATTTTTTCACAATGATAACTATTATGAGTGCCTTTATTCTGATTTATTTATTTTAAATTTTGTTTTATCCCACCTTTATTATTTTATATGTAATTCAAGGCAGTGAACATACCTAATATTCCTTCCTCTTCCTATTTTTCCCATAACAACTCTGAAAGGTGAATTGAACTGAGAGATACTGACTGGCCCAAAGAAATGTCTTAATAAAAGGATTTGCATACAGTTTGAAAGTTGTCACAATCAGAGCTTTAATAGTGATATCAATCATTTTCAATGAAGACCCTTGTTAATCATGCTGATTTTACATATCACATGAATCACAGGAAAGTTATACCTTAAACTCAATGTAAGGGAGAGCTGTATTTAGAAACTTCCTGAAGAAGCAGAACATAGGAACAATGTTATCCTAAGAATGTGAAAATTACAAAAAGTTAATAAAATGTAATAAAATCGTGGAAGCCCTTTTGAGAATTCCATTCCCATCAATGAGAGACTAAAATACTTTATGTAATAATATTGTTATGGCCAATTGCTATGCTGCGAATTCTTAGATCTGAGTAAAAGGCAACAATATTTGATAATATTCATTTTCAAGAAGTGGTTACTAATGGGCAAAAATGAAATTGAATAAAACTGGGGCTTTAACTTATATATCTTCTAGATATCCCAACAGTAAAACTGCTAAGTTAAAAATGAAGCACTTGATATTTTTTAAACAATGAAATAACCTTAGGTTTGATAAGATGATAAGTATTCCATATTTTTGTATTAAATTAATATCATTTTTCCTGAGGAAATGTTCTCTTCAGTGGGTGCAAAAATTCTTTAAATATTTATCAGCTTCCTCTGCCTTTCAGAACCAGTTTGGAGAAACACAGAAGCTATTTTTTCCTAGATTTCAGTTTAAGGGACATACAAGGTTACCACAAGTGCCTAATATTTTATTCAAATCTGTCCCACTCCTTTGTAAAGCCCTTATTTTTCCAGCATTTACACAGATCTTTGATCTGTTACCACCAAATGGTAATAATAATAGTAATAATAGTCAAGAGAAGATATTCGGTTGCATTTTGAAACTTCAGCAACATGGTCAGGCACTGTGCAATTTGTTTATCATCATTTTATGTAAGTAATGCAATATAGTTTTAATCTTATGTAAGTAATGCAATATAGTTTTAATATTGTCATCTATATGAAAATGACATCTTTGTTACCTTAGTCTATTATGACCAGAGATTAAACTTTAGAATGGCACATGGATATTTGGTTCCATGAAGAGTTGCAATGTCAATATTACCTTCCAGTAATGAGGAAGAAAAGAGTGAGAATGACTAGAAGAGTGAATCCACCCACAGCAGCTGTGGCAATGACCAGAATCTGCCCTTGTTCTGCTGCTATATCTGAAGCTGAAAAAACAAAAACAAAAAACCCAACACCAAATAGAAGTCAATTTTTGAGCAATACATATAAGGAAAAGTTACAGTCCTCTGAGAGGCCAGCTACAGGCTCAAACAAAAAACAGATTTATTAAAAAGATCTTGCTGAGATTAGTAGGATAGTTTAGTAAGCTTGAAATAAAATTTCTGATCTACAATGGTGGCACTTTGAGAAGAAGAAATATTTTTATCTGTTCATTTTGCATGACACCAGACAGCAATACAGGAATATATAAGCATTTACTCCACTATGCATTATGTACAGCATTTATAATTTCCATAACACTTCAAGTTACATTATATCCTCAAGGCAATCTTGTGAGATAGACTTTTTAAAAACTTGTGATCTAAGTCAGAACGTTAAACAAATACTGGGTCTTGTTTCCAAATCCAGCAGTCTATTTATATAGACTGCCTGGTTCCTCTGGATATATTTCGCACTGAATATAAAAGATAAAGTGGTTTTAACATGCTTACAGACATTGAATAGGCTATGCTGAGAAGGTTTTGGAGTAGCCCTACCAATTGGAAAGGAAGTGAAATATGTTTGGTTTGTATTTTAATAGGAACCAACCTAATTCTCAGTTCCTAAACTAATATATGTGTGAGAATGTGATTCTCTTTTGGTTTTCATACTGTTCTCAATATTGTGATATGATACTCCAATTTTATTGTTGAAAGGCATGTTGAAATATGCTTAAAAGAATAGTATGAAAAAAATGACAGTATATATTGCACTCAGAAACAGCACACAAATATTCACATAATACCATTTTCTCCAGAATTGAAAATTATACCGATCCTGTCAGCAGTACTGATATTGACAGAGGTACCCAATGGTTTGTGGGGGGAGGGGCAGAAAGGGCTGAGAAACTGGCTTCACTTGGAAGAAGGCATAAAGATAATTTGCCTGTGATTCATGGCTTCAAAGGTATAATGAATGGGAATATCTATTGTTTATGTTGCTTATATATTAAGATATTATAGGAAGCAAGTGAAGAAAAACATCTAACACACAGTGCTGTTTTAATTGCTTTGGTGTAAGAACAGGCAGTTAGGGTTTCCCTTATGAAAAAAGACTCAAGAGGAAGTCTGTAAGAATGAAAACTGTAGGCTAATATTATGAGCTTAAACGCAAAGACTACAGCTGTATTAGAGAGAACTGCAAATTCAGATAAAAAGAAATGTAATTCAAATTCAATTTGCAATGCAAACTATTACTGGATGATGAGAATTTCTTATCTTACATGTGGTAATAACAGCTCATTTTATAAATTGTTCAGAATCAAGTCAGGCTGTTTAGTGACCACATAGTAAGTATTATATTGAAGTCTTTGACTGAATATTAAATACTTAGTTTTCAAATTTCAGTTCATTAATTATGCTGAAACTATCAATTTTACCATCCTATAATTTCCGCTCTTTAATGCCCCAATTACCTGGGGAGGAGGGATATAAGCATAATAAAATAGTACTACATGCATTATTTTGAATTGTATCATAAAGGTCTCAGGACTTTATTAATTTAATCTTTCATTAGTCTAATCATAGTTTTTATTAGTCCAATTAAAAGGGGAATAGAGGGAGCTTTACATCAGCCAAGACTTCACAGCACTGTTTTGAATGTTCTTTCTGTTCCTCAGACCCCATAAGAGACCAGGTTATCTTAAAAAAGAGCTATTGGATGGCATTTTGCAGTGCAATAGAAGTATAAAAATAATCACATTTTGCCACCTTTATGACCAAAGATTAGGCCCTAGTATGAACTTGTACATGGGTTTAGCTGGACTTTGTCTTTCTGCATCAGCACGCTAAGTATTTGTTCTGATGCTTCATTCTTAAGGATCTTCAGAAAAACTAAGCACATGCTGGATCCACTTAGTTTCCTGAGAATACTTGAAGATTTCATGAGTCTCTGATGTAGTTAAGATTCCTGAATGGGAAGTATTGGCAATTTTGGACAGGATTACATTTGAACACCTCCTAGACTCTAGGTTCTTACTCAACAAACCTTTCCACTAATCCAACTTGTGGTACCAATTAGTCCTTATCTTGATTATGATTCAGTGTTCAGTTCTACCTGTGATAGGACTGAGGGAAAGATTAGTTTTTTACCCAACTTTTTGCAAGTGACTTTGGAACTGGTTGTCAACCATTAACTATGAGTATCTGTCTCATTTTATTTCTGAGAAAAAGTTCCTGAATACTACACCCACACCCTCAATCTGTTTGTTTTTATCCATTATAATATAAAAGTCTCATTTATTTATTCTGTGTATTTCTCTTTTGTATCTCTTTTCTGTTTAACATGTGTAAAGAAAGTTTTCCGTGCCTCCAAACTAGAAAACTAGAAAATTTAATTTTGGATATTTGTTCAAGAATATTATGGCAGAGATGTTTGTTTATGAATATCATGGCAAGAGTTAATTTGTAGTCAGTAACTGATGGTGCCCAAGATTTCCATCCCTCTCTACTATCTCTACACATCTATATTTTTAAAATATAATATTTTATTTATAAAGGAACTGAGAAATTTGCATTGTAATAGTTTAAAGATTACCAAAATATTTATTATTTTATAATATTTCAAGTATTCATATTGTTGTTGTAACATGATGCAAAGAGTCACTTCTTTGAGGCTAATGTACTATTTACATATGTAGTAAAATAAAATATAAACCTACTTGGATTTGTTAATTATCACCTATGCAATACAACAATGACTATTTCTACACAATACTTATCCACCTGAGGCCTTAATTACTATAAATACAAATAATTAAAGGGAATCAGTATATGCAATAATGGAATAAGTTGTTAAGTTTTTCAAATTGAGAAACTTAATGTGACTGGAATATAGCCATAGCTGAGTTGCTGCTCCTATTGTTCCAGTAAGCAGACTCCAAAATTTTATTTTATTTTATCAGGGTACCAATACTAGATAACTACTACCTGGTCTCATTTTTTTCTCTTATTTTTTAAGGTGAAAAGGTGGTGGGTCTACAAATGTAAGAAGCCCTGAAGGAAATGAAATATCTATCCAGTCAGCTTGCATGTCTGGATATGTTAACAAAATCACATTGGTCTTTCTTATGGATCACCTGTGATGTAATATAATTCCAGTCTTGATCTTGTTGGACTTCTCAGTAGATTTTCATACCACTATTCATAAAACTACTAAACACCATAGTAGTATGGGCTGCTACATTTTTCAGCTGACAATTTTGTTTCTTATTCTTATATGATGGTTTTGGGAGAAACTAATCCATCACTATAGGATCAGGGACAATCAGTATAAAGATACTTAATTGTATATATCTTTTAAAAATATTTATTAATCATTTTAAAAAAGAAGAAAAGAGCAATAAAAAGAAAGGAAAGAGAACAGAAAAAATGATATGGAAATATAATATCAATAGACATACGAAGGAATTACCAATATTGTACAGTTAATACTCAATATATTGTTGATGAACAATTAACTATAAAAACAGAATACTCATATTAATTTGAATATTTAGATTATTTTAATAACATGAGGAAGGATTTGAATCTCTGAGCTTAATGTCAGATTCTCCAGTTTGTTGTTGTAGAATCTGCCCCCCAAAAGGTAAAATCATAATAGATAAATATTGGTTTCTAATTTCCCCTTTGTTGTTCTTTATAAAGATGTAACATTTTGTGTATTTCTGATTTCAGTTCTTTAGTCAATTCTTTCCCCCTTTACAACCATATTTTAAATACTTAGATATGGTTAAGTTATGAATTAATTTGATTTGATAAAATATCTATTCTAAGTATATGGTGTTTACTGCCTAGTTTCCAAGTTAAAGTTCTCAGTCTAATATCTTTAGTAGTGTATATTTTTTTCCAATGTGAAGACAACCCACCTGTATAAAAATATATGTTAGAACAATAGTGATTAACTGATTCCATTAAACCAGGAGGCTGGGATTCTTTTCTCTTTCAGAAAGTATGGATATCTTCTGTTTATACTATAGCAAATAAAATACCTTGAAATTAAATTTAAAAAGTGCACATTTTTAATACTTTGACCATTCAGCCATTGGGTAAGCTTGCAACCTATTATCAGCTCAATTTTATCTGTTAGCTACATGCTTTAGTTATTGCAAATTGACATCTGTCAGCCAGCAGACCCTCCAGCACAGTGAAAAATAAGAAAGTTGACAGAAAGACAGCTGGACAGATAAAAGAGAGCAGCTGTAAGACACATAGATACAAATTGTTGTGACTGGAGCTCTAATGGAAATGAATTAATGTCAAGAGTATAGATAAATGCAAATGGCATTATAAAGAACAAAAACAAATGCTATTTTTAAAGGCATGGGTCAAGATATGATTAGATCACCTTTTCCTTTCTTCATATTCTACCTATTTAGTCCTATTGAAGAAAACTTTAAAATGATACAAAACAGTTAAGATAATCATTAAACTGACCACAGATTCAAAATGTTTGGCATTGTAGATAATTACTTTAATCACTTGCATTTTATTATAACAGTCATAGTGTTACATTCAAGAATGGGAAATTTACATTGATCTAATGATTTAACTGGTCCTTAATTCAAGAGTGTCATCCAGAACTAGATGGATTACAGTCTGAAGAAGAAATAATAGCCACTTCCAAATGAGATGGACAGCATATAAATGTAATAAATAAATAGATAAAAAGTATTCTCACTACGGAACCATGGCATCTCTCTGGAGCCACTTTAACAGACTCAGGCAAGCTACATTCATGTAGCCCATTTTCAAACAAACACACACACACACACAGAGAGAGAGAGAGAGAGAGAGAGAGAGAGAGAGAGAGAGAGAGAGAGAGAGAGAGAGAGAGAGAGAGAGAGAGAGAGAGAGAGAGATGGTTCTCTCACTTATAGACATCTCCATATTACTTTCTCAGATATACAGTATATGTCCATACACTCTTATCTCCTCTTACATAACCA